ACTCCAGTCTGGGCGACAGAGTGAGACTCCAACTCAAAAAAAAAAAGAAAAAGAAAATAATTAGCTCCTGCTTTGTTTTCGAAGCGTTGGCTCCAATATGGCCTAGGACAGGTGTGGCCAGGGTTGAGGAGATGGACAAGGAGACACAGGCACTGTGTCCCAATATGTGACCTTCTGACAGTCACTAAATCACACTGTGCCTTGGTTTCCTGATCTGTCAAATGGCACAGGTAACCACCTCCAAGAGACACCTTGGCAGCTAAACGATGACATTGAAAAGTCCAATAACGTAAGGACATACGGTGACCATCTGGGGCTATGTGTAGTTGTAGTTCTGGAAGAGTTACCCCTGCAAGCTTGTCTCCCTGCCATTTTGTTTCAGAGAGATCAGTGCTCCCCGCCCCCACATTTCTAGGGGGCTGGCTCCCTCCCAGCAGTGGCCTATGCCACTGTGACCTCTGACCTCCCATCATGGAGGAAAACTGGTTACCAAGAAATAATCCAGGACGACTCCCCTTTCCCGAATGAGGTGGGGTTTCCACCAACTAAAGGTGCCCTCCCAGCCCTCATGTGTTAGAGGCAAAGGACCAGCTGGGTAAGGCCAGACCAATCCACAAGAAAATCTCTGGGCCAGGCACATGTCAGCACCCCTGTTCAGCAGGCTTGATCTGATCAAGTCCAAGGCAGAGGGCAGGCTCAGCTTCATCCCTCCTCCACCCTCCATGCCTTCATTTCACATTCTGCCCAGCGGAACCAGAGCCCGAGGTAGCTGTGGGTGATAAATAAATAATCGCAATGAGGAAGTACCTTGGAAATATAGAGCTGGCAGATCATATCCTCCCCTGGTTTGATTTCTTTCACAGTCCGAGTGATGAATATACCTCTCCCTTGGCAGCCCGAATCCGGCTTACAAATGTATGTCTTATTTTTTCTTGACCTGCTATAGGTCTGCAAATCTCCCCAGCTACCAGAGCAGGAGGAAGCAAGATACAACTTTAGCTGGGAAGCAGGGGGAAGGAAGACTAGCTCTTTATGAGACAGAGAATGAGACAGAGGAGGGAGGGAGAAAGGGAGGAAGCGAGAAAGAGAGAGAGGGAGAGGAGAGGGGAAAAAGGAAGAAAAGCTATCTAATGTGATGAAGCCCTGGCAAGAGAGAAGGGCATACACACAGACAGAGTAGGTTTCAGAGGGAATTCAGGACTGGATTTAAACCCAGAAAACACCACTTTCCAGCAGTGTAGCCCTTTGCAAGGACTTGACCTCTCGAAGTCTCAGCTTCGTCATCTCTACAATGAGGATAATGATGACACTCATCTTCCTCTGATGGTTATTTATGTGACACAATGCAGGCAGAATACTAATACATGCTGTGTGTCCCATAAAGGTGGCCGGGACCCCAGAAGCTTGGTTTTGTGGGTTTGCAGATGTGAGATTTGGAGTTCTGGATCTGGCTCAAGCCCTGATGAGGACGATGACCTTGAATGGATCAGTGTCTGACTCCTCTCTGGGTTTCAGTGTTTCATCTGCAACACCTCCACTTCAGCCAGAGTATAGAAGGGCAAATAATATCTTTGATCATACTTTGAAGAAAGTATCTTCAGAAGAAATAAAGAAACCAGATTAATGGTGTCTCTGTCTCTCAGTCTTGCTATACTTCTTGTTTTGCGTTTTAACACACAAAAGAACCTTGTGACCATTGGAAAAGTCATCTAACTGCAGTGTTCCCCAGTGACCAGGAACCTGGAGCTCCCGTTGACTTGATGGCAAGCACATTTCCTTTCAGATGCAGTTAAGTCCTAAGAGTTGTTCCTGGCATGCTTAGGACAGGCTGAGAAGCCTGGAGCTCATGGTTTGGGGAGCACTGGGTGGAGAGGGGTGGGGTATTCCTCTGGTGCCCTTGCCATGTGAGTATCATCCTGATGGAGACACTGTTCCACCCTGTCTCAAGCACCAGATAGCACCCAAGGTCATGTTCATGTCCTTTCGCATTCCTCCTATTTCTTGGTGGTGTGTGACCCAGAACATTTCACAGACCAAGAGTGGATGTCTAGATCTGAAACAGATCAAATGAGACTAGAGGAGGGAAAGGGCTGAGCGCTATCTTTGCCCTGCATGGGACCAAGGCCAGGCCTCCTTCCTGCCTCTATCCTGGGGGCTAACCACTACCCTACTCTCTCCAGAGGCACTCATGGGCCTTAAATAATCCAGAAACTGCACAGTTAAATGCCTGGAATGAGTTCAAAATCAACAGCTTTCAGGGTCAGAACAAACTCTCACCCTGACGGCAGGTACAGGCTCCAAGACACTCAGCCCCTGAATGTCATCTAATTTTATGGGCAGAGCCTTGTGTATTCTCAACCTTGGACACACCTTTTATCCTTTCTCTTCCTGAATGGTAGTGAGAGAGATGGGGAGTCCTATGGGAAGGGAAAAGAATCAGGGTGGGGGCTGGGCGTGCAGTGGAGAAGAAAGCACAGGGGCACTCACTCGGCAGGAAGACACCAGGTCTTAGGGAAAAAGTGGAACTCCTTCGGAAACATCTTTAACATGCGGCTCATATTCCTGGCCAGCAAGTCCTTGCGGCAGATTTCACTCATTCCGGGGAAGTGATTGATCTTCTGCAAAAGAAGCCAGCATTCATGAGCAATCGGGGGGACACAGGAATCCTACAGGGTCCTCTTAGGATCATGTTGCTATAAAGATGGGGTCCCCTTGGATAGATGCCACACAAACTGAGGACCAATGCTGACTCGAGTACCTGATAACTTTTCATTTCCATCACCCGCTCCAGTGACACCGAGTAGTCTGTCCAGTAGAGAGTCCAGTCATCGTCTTCCCCTCCCTCTCTAAGGCCATACTGTTGGGCAGCCCTACGCACTGCAGTGGGGTTGAAGAAAGAATGGCCTGTTAGCCTGGGAAGTGGGGGAGGAGTGTGGGGTGGGGATCTTCCATTTCAAGGTGCTCCTAGATCAAATACTGAAAGTGTGAGAACTCGGCTCCTGGGGACTGGACACCACGTCACCCTGCCTGGACACCACTGCCAAGAAAGGAACATGGAGAATTGAAAGAGACTGAAGAATCTGGCCTGTGCTGGTTCCCCACAGAAGCTTCTCTAGGATGAATGTTTTACCTGCCCTGGCTTCCCCTGCCAGGAAGCAGTCTCTGGCTTTCCTCCAAACACTAAGCTCTGAATGTTCGGGGAATATAAACTAATCCTTAACATCAGCCAGAGCCAAGCTTAATTAGTGGCAGAAAAGAAAATTATACGTAGTACACTGGGTATATATATATTTTTAAGTATACATTGTATTTCAAAACCACATACTGGGGGTGCCAAAAAAAGTATACACATTTTAAGAGATGTTATTTATGTATTACTTTTCAAAGTACTTTTCAGAGGTGTCCAGATGCCAACAGTAATCACTTTAAGCACCTCTTGTAATTGCAGAAGTGACTTGCATTCATCTTACAAATCTTACAATTCTAATATAGTTTTATAGTTTTTCCCTTTCTTTTTTTTTTTTTAATTGGAGTCTCACTCTGGTGCCCAGGTTGGAGTGCAGTGGCACACTCATGGCCACCCCAGCGTCAACCCACTGGGCTCCGGTGATCCTGCTGCTTCAGCCTTCCAAGTAACCGGAACTACAGGTGTGCGCTACCATGCCCGGTTAATTTATTTTTTAATTTATGATAGAGGTGAGGTCTCACCAAGCCCGTCCTAGTTTTCTCCTTTCTTAAAATGTATATAGGCCGGGTGTGGTGGCTCACGCCTATAATCCCAGCACTTTGGGAGATGGAGGCGAGAGGATTGCCTGAGCCCAGAGGTTTGAGACTGGCCCGGGCAACTTAGCAAGACCTCATCTCTACAATAAATCAAAAAATTAGCCGGGTATGGTGTCGCGCATCTGTAGTTCCAGCTACTTGGAAGGCTGAGGTGGAAGGATCGCCGGAGCACAGCAGGTCGAGGCTGCAGAGACCATGAGTGTGCCACTGCACTCCAGTCTGGGTGGCAGAGTGAGACTCCTACTCAAAAAAAAAATATGTATACACTATTTTGGTGCTCTCTGTATATGCCATCACATCCTTCTAACCCATCCCTGTTAGTATTAGTAACTGGGTATTGACGCCAACCCATACTCAAATGCCTTTAAGGGCCTAGGACAGGAGAAGGGCCTGCAGTAACCAGGAGGGCACAAGACCAGCCTAAAGCATTCCATTGGAATTTATGTATTTATTTACCATTTTTTTAGAATACAAAAACAGGTTCACTGCAAGGAAGCAGCAGCCAGGACAGAGAAAAGGAAGCTGTCTGCCCAATTTGAATTTTAAATACAACAGCAGCAACACAGTGCTCTGCAGCACAGAACAGGTCTGTGGGCTGGATTCAGCTCGCAGATCGCCAGTTTGTAACTTGAGCTCTAAAACAGGGCCATTGACTGCCACAATAGCTGCCTCTTCTACCACCAGATTCCCAAATCACCATCTGTAAGAATCACAGCTGAGCACATGGTTCACGCCTGTAATTCCAACACACTTTGGGAGATGGAGGTGAGAGGATTGCCGGAGCCCAGGGGCTCGAGAGCAGCAAGGGCAACTTGGCAAGACCTCATCTCTACAAGATATCAAAAAATTAGCCAGGTGTGGTGGTGCGCACCTGTAGTTCCAGCTACCTAGAAGGCAGAGGCAGAAGGATTGCCTGAGCCCAGTAGGTCAAGGCAGTGGTGGCCATGAGCATGCCACTGCACCCCAGCCTGGGTGACAGAGTGAGACTCCTATTCAAAACAAAAAACAAACAATCAAAAAAACATGATTCTTAGAATGGGATTCTCACCCTCCTAAAATAGCTCAAGCGAGGGGAACTGAAAAACAGGATTTAGAGACACCCCTTTTCATCCTCAAGAATACACAAGAGTGACACTTCCCAAGCATTTGGGGGAATCCAGTTAGTTCCCACTGTAGACCCCTTGAAGGCAGATGCTCACCGCTCTCATACCGGCAGCTGGATAGATTGATCACCAATCATCTGGAAAAGAGAAAAAAGAAAGCAGCAAGACAGAGACACACGCCAGAACAAGCGACGGTACCCAGGTACATTCTGTCCCAGGCGGAACTGCCTGAAATCGAGCCTGTCCCACTAAATCTGGTCTGACTATCCCTGTTGCTGAGGACACAAGTCCAAAGGGATACAGAGTGACAGAAAACATGGGCTCAGAGGACTGTACTCTGCCCACGAGGTAGAAATTCTGTATGTCAATTACAGCTCATGTAGCTCGCAGCTTTATATTCACATCATTGCATCAATCTAGTTACTCCAGTTACCTATCAGGGACAGGAATTGGAACTCTTTTTAGCCAAAATACTCGTCTCCCTCCTTTCTCCCCACCATTAAGGGAAGCCGTGAGAAAGTGGACAAATTTTTATTTGTCAATCAGTGTGAATGGAGCAAGGGATGGCAAAACATTAAACAAGAACTGAAGCACACAAGCTGTAGTTGAGGTCCTAATAAATCAGCCGAGTTTTATTTAAGAGGTACTGAATTCCCAGGACAAAGAAGCACTTTCTTTTTTTTTTTTTTGAGTTGGAGTCTCACTCTGTCGCCCAGACTGGAGTGCAGTGGCCGCTCCCGGTCACCGCAGCATCGACCTGCTGGGCTCCAGCGATCCTTCCGCCTCAGCCTTCCACGTGGCTGGAACTACAGGAACGCGCTACCACACCCGGCTAATTTTTGACTTATTGTAGAGATGAGGTCTCGCCAAGTGGCCCAGGCAGGTCTCGAACCCACAGGCTCAGGCAATCCACTCACTTCAGCCTCCCAAAGGCACGGGATTACAGGCTGAGCCACCAAGCCCGGCAAGAAGCACTTTCTTAAAACAAGGGAATCTTCTCTTCCCACTCATTAAAAAAAAAAGGTATTCTAAACATATATCAAGATCGCACACACCATTATTTGATTCTACAAAACAGATCATCAAAAGTGGATTCTTTTTGTATGAACCGAAAGGGGTGTGGCTTTGAGTCTACTCTCTTCATTGTCAGCCAAGGCCTCCTTCCCTCTAGGTCCTTCCTGTTCCTACCAACATGGATCCCGACTCCCCATCTTTCAATCCTAACCTCTTTTTCTTCCTCGTGTTCTTGCCTTGCCTCAGGGCACTGGGAAGTCTGTTTTGCGCCCTGGTGTTGTCTCTCACAAAAGCCAGGGTGATGGTTTCTTTTGGATCGTCTTTGGCACTGTCCTCTCTCTCTTCAGAGTCTGTCCCTTCCTTGCTTTCCGAAGTCAGGCACTGTCGCATCTCCCTGGCGCGCGAGGAGGCTCTGGGGAAATACCAGCACCCCCTGGAGAGAAGGCCAAGGGAGCCGCAGCTACACGGATCCACCTGCAGGGGGACCCCCTCCCTTGCTCATGTGGGTGGTGAGCCCAGGTTCCAAGACTAGGCAACAGGTGGTAGTTCTTGGAACGCTGCCCAACTTGACCAGCTGGTGCAAGCTCAGGGAGGGAGCTGATTCCACCCTTGGCTACTGACTACGACCTTGGGGACTCACTCGGCCAACCCTGGCCTTGGTTGTTCCCTCCTGGGGTTTTCAGGAGCTGGCTGAGATGCTGTGCATGGCACCACTTGGTAAACAAACTTCTTATTAAAAGTGAGTGAGTGTCTGGAGACAGCCTCAGGACCAAGCCCCAAGCCTTCCCAGAGGATGCAGGTGGAGGTGCTTTGAGGAGGCCTGTTAACTGTTTCAGTGCTGCTTCAAACCTCCCACTCAGCAATTTGCTGGCCTGAAAATGAATGCAATGGCTGCTCATGGACTGCAGGACTGACTTGCAGCTGATTGTACAGTAAGATTCAAGCCCAAGGCCAGTGCAGACCTTCAGAGACCCCAACCAAAGAAAAGACTATAATGTCTCCCCCACTATTCATTCCAAAATAAAAACAAGATCAAATCATTAAATGCATATAATGGAGTCCAGCGAAGTTCTCATCTTCTCTGGCCTTATGAGACTTCTTTGATGTTTGCTTGACATTTCGAATATCAAAAAAAATTTTGGGGGGATAGAGACAGGGTCTCTCTATGTTGCCCAGGCTAGAGTGCTGTGGCATGATCATAGCTCACTGCATCCTTGAACTACAAGGCTCAAACAATCCTCCAATCTCAGCCTCCTGAGTAGCTGGCATTACATTTGCACACCATGCCTGGCTAGGTTTTGTTTTGTTTTTTTCCTTGTAGAGACAGGGTCTCAATATGCTGCCCAGGTTGGTCTCAAACTCTGGAGATCCTGCCATTCCAGCCTCCCAAAGTGCTGGGATTACAGGCATGAGCCACCACGCCCAACAAATACATGTCAGGAAGTTCAACAAAGTTCTCAACCTCCAGGCCCTATGAGACTTCTTTGATATTTGCTTGACATTTCAAATATCAAAAATTTTAATGGTTTTTAATGCTCCTGCTTGGCTACTCCTCAGGAACGTGCTTAGTTTGCCCTTGGGTATTCCAGGACTGCCAGGCCCAGTGAACTGATCCATATTCCCTCACAGCCATAGCTCCTATGAGCAGAGAGCCCATTTTCTGGAACTCTCCTCACCTCCTAGGACCCTGCAAGCCCCCTCACCATTTCAACCCTTCTCCTTTGATGCCACAGTCCCCTTGCTACTTATGACCTGTTCTTCCCTCACAAATTCTTTGAATGTTTAAAAAGACATTGAAATATGCGTATTATAACTTATTATTATTGAAATAACATAATATTAAAGGAGACTTAGAAAATGCAGGTGGGACGCCCAGGTGGGAGGATTGCTTGAGGACAGAAGTTTAGAGTAGTCTGGACAATATAGCAAGACTCTGTCTCCACAGAAAAATAAAAAATTAAAAATAAAATAAAGAGAAAATGGGGGTAGGGTGAGAAATCACCTGTAGTTTTCCTACCCTGACATAGCAAATTTGACCTGTCTATGTACTGTCTTTTTTCTTAATTTCTGAGCATAATTATCATAATTATTCTTATATCATTGTAATCAATTTTGTGTCTGATTTATGCCTACTTACTATCATGAAATAAGCATCCTTCTAGTTGTGGCAAAGTTTACATGTTTCCAGCTTTTAATGGCTGTGTAATATTCCATTGAAGAAATGAGCCCGAATTTAACCAACCAAGGCCCTATTGTTGGACATGTAAGTTGCTTCCAATTTTGATATTATATCAATAGCTCTAAAGTGCACACTTTCTTGTATAGAAGGCTGCTTACTTCTTTGGAATTATTTTCTTAAGATAATATCCTGGGATTACAGGGCTAATGAATATGCAAATTATGTAGTTTCTGATGTCTATCTAAACTCACCATGTTGTTTCCCAGAGAGATTCTAACAATTTGGACTGCTGCAGCAACTCACCAGAGTTGCACGATCTCTCTTGGAATTCACTTCTCCTCTATACACAAACTTGCTAAATCTAGATAAATTTCATGCCCTGCAGCCATTTTTTTACCACAGCTGCACACTTAGAACTCTCTCTGCCCCCTTTCCAAACCAAATTTGGTGATGGTGGAGCTCTCTAACAATGAAGCTACCTATGTGTAATTTTTTTTTTTTTTGAGTCGGGGTCTCACTCTGTTGCCCAGGCTGGAGTGCAGTGGCATGCTCAAGGCCACCACAGCCTCAACCTGCTGGGCTTAGGTGATCCTTCCTCCTCAGCCTTCCAAGTGGCTGGGACTACAGGCGTGCGCCACCATGCCTGGCTAATTTTTTGTTTTATTATAAAGATGAGGTCTCATGAAGTTGCCCAGGCTGGTCTCAAACTCCTGGGCTCAAACAATCCTTTCACCTCGACCTCCCAAAGTGCTGGGATTACAGATGTGAGCCACCGTGCCCAGCAGCTATTTATGAATAACTTAATAATGAACCCTCATGCGGGGATCGTTCTTTGGGATTTTTTTTTTTTTTTTTTTTTG